ATATCAATTCAGCTTGGGAGACATTTTGTTAGTGGCATATGCCCCCACCCCCTCAAAAAAAAATCAAGTGTTCTGGATGGTGACAATATAACTTTTGAGGAAAACGTAAAACAAAATCCTGCATTTTATTAAGCTCTACAGAAATAGTGTTCCAAACTGTGCAGTCACCAGAGGTACAGTTATCAGATATGCACACACTTCCCTTGACCTCTTCAGGACCCTCAGCTCTCTGTGCCTGGTCTGTTTGGGCATCTCCACTGTATTCAGGGCTGTTCCCATTCTTGTCAATCCCAGGTTTTCCCTTTTCCCTTTCAGAACTTTCTTCTTTGCACAGACCCTTTTAGGCTTGGGTCCTGCATTTGGCTTTGGAGGAACAGGTTTACCAAACGACCTTGAAGATCTCTATGGTTTGTCCTTCACCTTTGCCCTCTCTCCTTTATCTTTTAATATTTTATTTATTATTTTTATTTTTTTATGTGTATGCATGTACTGCCTGCATGTAGATAAGTGCACCCGTGTCGTGCAATACCCGTGGAGGACAGAAGAGGCTGTCGGATCCCCTGGAACTGGAGTTACAGACAGTTGTTAGCTGCCATATGGGTGCTGGGATTCGAACCCGGGTCTTCTGCAAGAACAACCAGTGTTCTTAACTGCTGAGTCATCTCTACAGCTCCCAAGCTCTCTCTCCTTCAGCATCCCCTGCAGCCTTTTTTCTGGGTGTGGAAGTGGTGGCTGGGGAATGTAGACACAGGGCGCCTAGATGCAACAGCACATGGCTTTGGTTGGTCCTGGGGTCCTTCTTGCTTCCTCACAAGGAAGCAAGCTGTTGCTCATGAAAAATAAGGCTCATAAGGAATAACTTTGCCTTTTCAGGCCCTAAAGGAATCACCCTCACCCCTTCTCCATCCCAAGACATACAACTACAGCTATAGCACCAAAAGGAATCAGTCTGCCTGGAAATTGGGAATGTTAGACTAGCACTTGTGCCATCAGGGTGGAGTGTAATTTCTTTGAACCTTTAACTCAGAAAAACCAGAATATGATTTCAGACATAAAGTCCTATCGCTCTTTACATGGTTTTTACTTTAATATGACAGTATCGTCATCTCTAGACTGAAATTTCTCCTCAGGAATTTGCTAATGGGAGGTGGTTTATATGAAACTATTGACCTCTCCACATTGCTATCTCTTTACTTGAATAGACTCAGCCAGTCCCACTACAAAGCTCCTGCTAGGTTGTGCTGAACATAATTTGGGATGAGAGACAAAATGGGAATTTGCTTCCTATAATCTTGGAACTAAAATTCAGTTCATGAAAGAAAAAAAAAAAGGGTCACCATGTCAGAATGACTGGTGTGACTTTCCAGCTGCGACATCCACCTTCACCACGAAGCCTGCTCCCAAAGAGAGCGGGGAAATGCAGCTGTATCCAGGAGAAAGGGCCAGGATAGTTGTGGAGAGTCCTATGATCCCCACAAACACTTTACTTTTGAAAAGCCCATGTCCAAGTATGAAAAAAAAAATTGGTCACCTACTTTCTGACCTGTTACATTCAACAAATTCAAGTTCTGAATGGAAAGTTATGCACTACCAGCTAAGACATTGTAGGGCAGAGCTTGGGACTGTGCACTTAGGGATAAAGCATCCTGTAGACAAGCAGCACGGAGGGGCGATTTGTCTTCCACCTTCATGGAGGCACGCGGTTTCCCCTTTTAGAGAGGGACACACTTGGAGACCATAGAGAAAGGTTCCTTTATCTTGTTCCACTAATTTGTGATACACACACACACACACACACACACACACACACACACACACACACTACATTTGGGCAAAAAGTTTGATTGCTGGTCTTAGATTTTAGTGTCATAATTGTTGTATTTTTTTCTGTATTGTTTCTAATTATTTTAATGGATAATTAGTAAAAATTTCATCAGACGCCATATGAAAATGTCATTGGATTTTTTTTAATGTAAGTGTTCCTATAAAATTTTGTTCAATCATAAAGAACAAAATTACATTGCAGGAAAATGGGTATAGCTTGAGATTATCATATTAAGTGAATTATGCCATTCTCCAAAAGACAAACATCATGTTTTTTTCTCATTTGTGGTTCATAGACTATATATAGATATACAAAATCGTGTGTGTGTGTGTGTACATTTGTATAATGAAAGTACAAACAAAATTGTACAGAGGAACAAAGAACACTAATGGGAGGAAGGAGAGAGGTGGAGTGGGGGATGTCAAAATATGTTCAACATATATACTTGTGTGAAAATGTCGATACAAAGCCAAGTACTATGTGTAATGAATAGACACCAATAAAGTCAAATTTAAAATGATGCAAACAACAGAATGTGTTAGGAAAATCTCATGGGAGAATTAGATGTCATTTATATTCTTCATTTTTAGTAACTTCTCTGGATAAACTGCCTATTTCCCTTGACTTTGATTGCAGAACTTAATTTTAAAGTGACTAAGCATTAATGATTGCACATTTAGGGCATCTTTGTGAAGCATGTTAGAGAAGCTTGTGGTTCTTGTTCCTTCTGTAACTAGTGTGCTAGGGCTGCCCTGGCAAAATACCATATACCAAGTGTCTTAAGCAGAAGCTGTTTATGTCTCCTAATTCTGGAGCCTGGAAACCCAAAACCAAAGCATGGACAGGCTTGGTGTTTTCGGAGAGCTGTGAGAGAGCATCTTTCTATGCTTCTCCTGCTTCTGGTGCATTGCTGCCAATCTTTGGCACTTCATGGCTTGTAGAAGCATCCTCCTAGCCTCTGCGTTCTTCACACTGTGTTCTCCCTGTGTGTATGTCTATGTCCATGATGGACTCCAGACTCTTGCCCCTTTGGACCCTTTCCCCCTTTATAAGAGTGATAGACATACTGGACAGAGGTCCACCTTACTGTATTCTGAATTCATGTTAAGTAGTTTCATTTGCAGCAATCCTATTCTCAAATACGGTCACACTGTGAGGTACTCAGTGTTAGGACTTCAATACATGAATTTAGCTCAGAATATTTATTATACAACAAAAGAATAAACATCCCAAGGAAAAAGTGCCCTTTTTCCCTACAACCACCTCACACATATAGTTATGGCCACCTTTCTAAGGAAACCGAAAAAGATGATGAGGAAGCAAAGGAAGAAAGAGAAATAACTTCCATTGCATTCTTGTATCTGTTACTATTTAGACATATTATGTAATTTAATATGATGCCAGTTTAAGGTTGAACTAAATGTATTTTGCATTTTATATAATTATGAGCCTATGGGGGCCAGGGGGTTAGAATATGGTGGTTTGAATGAAAATGTCCCCCATAGGCTCCAAGTATTTGGACATTTTGTCCCCAGTCAATGGTGCTGTTTTGGGAGGTCTTAGAAGGTGTGTTCTACTGGAGGAAGCATGTAATTGGGGGTGGACTTAGAGAGTTCTAAGATCTCCAGTCGCTCTCTTGCTTCCTATGCTTGCTTGAAGATGTAAGAGCTTAGCTTCCCCCAGCCACCTCTGCCGCCATGCCTCCCCTCCATGATGGACTCTGGACTCTTGCCCCTTTGGAACTATAAGCTCAAATAAACTCTTCCTTCTATAAGTTGCTTTGGTCAGTGTTTCTATCACAGCAACAGAAAAGTAACTAATACAGATGTACCAGGAAGGTAGGCACAAATGACAAAATCGGACTTCATGTGATAAAGTCACTTTCCAAGACCCAGTTAAGAACTGGGATCCAATGTGGATGTGTACATGACTTCAAAGCCTGGGCACTTTCCTGACACTCTCCTTGTGTCTCTGCAAGAAGAGTTCTGTGTGATCTGCAAAAGCAAAACACAGCTAATAATGGCAGTGGTGATAACAAGAACACATAGAAATGTCCCATTGAAACAATCACTTCTGCTAGTGTGGAGCAAAGTCAGCAGGCAGACAAGCAATCCGGGACATTTCTGACACAGTGTACACAAGGCTGCAGTCCTGCCTAAACATTCAAGGCAGGATTTCAGTTCTATGGTGAATAGAGGGATAATTTCTAAGAGATTAGAGGATAAGTATTTAAATATTTATGAATGTCAAACATCCAAAACCATTTGATTTTGAAACCTTAAGCCTGAGGATCAAGATAACATTGTTCCACAACTTCCTCAATAGCAGTAGCGAGCAGTTATTGCAACCCCAGTGTGCTGTGCTCTGTGCCAAATGCTCTTCCTATCTTCACTCACTAAGCCTCACAATTATCCTAGAGGCTACAGGTAATATCTCTATTTAACAGATGTTGAAATGAAAGAACAGAGCCTGACCCTGAAGCCTGCTTTACAGACAACGTGTCCAGCTGTTTTTCACCAAGTAGATAAAAACTCCAAAGGCAAGTTCTATGTGGACAGATGCATGCTTTGTAGACATTTTTAAATATTTTATTTATTATTTTTATATTTGTTTTATGTGTATGCATGTATTGCCTGCATGTATGTAAGTGTACCTGTATCATGGAATGCTCACAGAGGTCAGAAGGTGTTGGATTCCCCTGGAACTGGAGTTACAGACAGTAATTAGCCACTATGTGGGTGCTAGAAACTGGTCCTCTGCAAGAGCAGCCAGTGCTCTTAACTGCTGAGCCATCTCTCCAGCACCTGTAACCAGTTGTTTTTTAATGGAGGAATTACACTGGATATAAAGAGTCTGAAAGTTTGAATTTGAATCCTGGACTTGACTACATGTCTAAATGTAAATTGTTGGTTGATCTTTTCAGAAGTTAATTTTTTTCTGAGAAAGAAATGATTTAAAAAATTACCTTCAAAATAAAGTGAGCAGAGAGCTTGAAAAGAGAGGTATAAGTGGCCAATGAACATATGGCATAATATGGGGAGGCTGAAGCATGCGGCAGAAACCTATATTTGTACTGATTCTTGCTTCCACATGGTGTAGCAGCAGGCATTTGGAAATAGTTGTTGAAGGCCAGTCAATGAACCTTCTCCAACATTCCCAGTTTCCTGGAGCTCAGAGGTGGCTGACATCATGCAAACTGGTTACAGTTACAACTGAAATTAGAATACTAAGCTTTCCCAAATGTTGTAAATGAGCTTTTCTGGAAGTAGATGCTGGGACAACACTAGCTGTGCTTGGGGAGTAAGGGCCTGCTCACTTCCTTGGACAGTGAGTTCTCTCTACCACATCCCCTTCAGGTCAGCTGAGGCTTGGTTAAGTTGTATCATGGTCAAATTCTCTTCTACAAGCCCTGCTTCTTCTTTTCCCATAAGCATTGATTCCCAATAAACATCTGTACCCCAGATTCCTTCTCCTCTGTCTTCTCCACAGCTGAAAGCAAGCTCCCTGTTTCCTGCCACTGCCTTAGTGCCATCCCTATACACGTAAGTAACTATGTAGCTAGTCTACTTCCAAAGGCTCCCAGTCTTCCTGTGGACAATGGATGTTTGACACTGCCTAGATGCTCTTGACCTCCCCTTCCTGTCTTGATACTTCTAAAGATAGCTCCTAACCTCTGTTCAAAGGTCTCTAATTTCTTAAGATCATTCCCCCCCTCTCTCTCTCCTCTCTCTCTCATCTGTCTCCCTCTGTGTGTGCTATTCAAAAACTAACATCAAAAAGGACTAGCCTTTTGGCTTCTCTTATCTTTTTTCATAAGTAAATAAAAGCCTAAAGCAGCACTGTCGAAGTCTGGGATCAGAGGGCAGGGTGAGAGGAAAGGCAGGCCATCTGCGAGCAGGCACCCTGCGCCGCTCATGGTCTCTGAACAGATCATTTGGCCGAGAGATCTGCATCTTCAGGGCTGAATCAATCTTGGAGAGGGAGGTGAGTGCTGCTGAATCTACTGGACCCTTTTCTCTTCTCTCTTCTCTGTATTCAGAATGGTTATTTTCACCAGGGCCATGATTGTATAATTCTGGAAGAAATCAGAGCTTCTGTGCTAAATCTGATTTTCTTTGGTTAATGGAGTGGCCCCTTGAAGACTAGATATATAACCTCACCATATGTGCTTATAGGTATGCATGCATGTCTTTCCAAGCACCTTAAAACGTCTATAAATGTTGGGAATGGAACTCATGCAGCCAGTATGGAAAACATTATGGAAATTTCTCAAAAAACTAAAACTAGGGGTTGGAGAGATGGCTCAACAGTTAAGAACACTGGTTGTTCCTGCAGAAGACTCAGGTTCGAATCCCAGCACCCACATGGCAGCTAACAACTGTCCGTAATTCCAGTTCCAGGGGATCTGACAGCCTCTTCTGTCCTCCACGGGCATTGCACGACACAGGTGCACTTACCCACATGCAGGCAATACACACATACACATAAAATAAAAATAATAAATAAAATATTTTAAAAACCCCTAGAACTAGCTGGGTGCATGGTGTTCACCTTTAACCCCAGCCCTTGGGCAGGAAGATCTCTGTGAGATCGAGGCCAGCCTGATATACATACCAGGCAGGCGATCTGACAGCCCCTTCTGACCTTCATGGGCATTGCATGACAAGGGTGCATTTACCTACATGCTAAAATAAAATAAAATAAAATAAAATAAAATAAAATAAAATAAAAAATAAAGCAAAAAACAAAACAACAAGAAACTAAAAATAGACCTACCATATGACCCATCTATGCCACTCTTGAGTATTTACACAGAGGATCTAAGCCAACCCACTACAGAGATACTTGCACATCCATGTTTGCAGCCACACTATTCATAATAGCCAGGAAATGATACCAGCCTTCGTGTCATCAACAGATGAGTGGATAAAGAAAATGTATATAAACACAGTTGAATTTTATGCAGCCATAAGGTAAAACGAAATCATGACATCTCCAGGAATATGGTTGCAACTGGAAATCATTATGTAAAGTAAAATAAGCCAGACTCAGAGATACAAATACCATATGCTTTCTCTTATCCACAGAACCTAGATTTAAAATTGTGTGTGTGTGTGTGTGTGTGTGTGTGTGTGCGTGTGTACGTGTGTGTATCATGAAATAAGAAAGGGGATTATGAATAGAGAGGAAGAGATCTTGGGGGTGGGGAAGGAGAGGGTAATATAATATGTGTGATTAGAAAAAAGAAGGGAGGCTACCTGGGGGAGGAGGAGGACCAGCTAGGAGAGGTACAAGGAAAGGTGGTGGAGAAGGGGAGTGATGGAGAACAAGGTATAATTACACAAGTGTGAAAATGCCATAATGAAGTTCATTACTTTGTATGCTAACTAAAAGTTAATATTTTTAAAAAAGAAAAGATCTTTAGTGAGTTCAAGGCCAGCCTGGTCTACATAGTGAGTTCCAGGACAGCCAGGGCTACAGGGAGACCCTGTCTCAAAAAAACAAAAAAAAAAAAAAATCTACAAATGCACCCCCTTTCTTTTTCCAACTTCAGAGTAGATTGCAGATAATTATTTTTAAAAATAGTAATTCTGATTTATTGAGCATTCACTGTATGCCAAGTATCAATTTACAACCCTTTTTTCCAATCTCTCTAACCCTTTATAAAATAAAAATCATTAATGTATCATCTTAAAAACTATGATGAGTCTGAGGAGAGGATTCAGTGGGTAAAGCACTTGCTGTGCAACCCTGACAACCTGAGTTTGAATCCTCAGAACCCACATAAAAAGTCAGACACTGTAATTCTAGTAGATCCTTACCAGGAGACAGGAGTTAGAGAAAAGAGAGCCACCAGGAACTCCGGGGTCAGCGAGTCTAGAATATGCATCAGTGAAAGACCAGAGAGACCTTGTCTCAAACAAGGTGGAAGCCCAAGACCCATACCTGGGATTGTCCTCTGTCTTCTACACAAATATGTCTACACACACACACACACACACACACACACATACGCACATGCACATACGCACACACGTACACACACACACACACACGCACACATAGAACATGAGACCCAGAAATTAACTTTCCCAAAGTTAGTCATTTAGAACATAACTGAATAAGAACACAGAAAGAAGTCCTAGGTAAGGAAAAGTCAGCAAGATGAATAAAATGGAATAATATTGTCTTTGGAATTTATGATGTTTTCATCCTGGTTTATTCAGAAAACAGAGTCTGGGGCAATGACTAAGATAGATGTAGCTTTCCAAGCTTGGAATTTGATGCTTTCCATGATTAATCAGCTAGCAAGTTAGAGTGGTGTAAATGAAAACTGTCCCCAGTAAGCTTGACTACTTGGTCCCCAGTTGGTGGAGCTGTGTGGGGAGCTATGGAACGTTTAGGAGGTGCAGACTTGTGGAGGAAGTAGTTCTCTGGGGACCAGCTTTAAGAGTTCATAGCCTCGCCCCTCTTTCAGTTCACTCTCTGCTTCCATTGTGTGGTTGAAATGTGATCTCAGCTTCCTGCTCTGGCTGCCTACTGTCCTGCCTCCCCTGCCATGATGGACTCTTGTCCTTCTGGAACCATACACCCAAATAAACTCTTCCTTCCATAAGTTGCCTTGGTCATGGTGTTTTATTACAGCAACAAAGAGTAGTTAATACACAAGCCTACCCATGGAGCCCGTGGAGTGTTAGAGCCATTACTAGAAGTACCTAGGTTGCTCACCATACTCCAGCACTCCAGGAGAGCAGAACACTGACTTTGTTGCAATTTGGGACACTGGATTACAGTCCTTGCTCTCCTATGAACTACCTGTCTGACTTTGAGGCAATATTTTAATAATTTTGTATTTGGTTTCCTGGTTTATAAAAAAAATGTAAACATTTTAGAAAGAAGGAAGAAAGCTTTGGAATGAGCACAGTGCACACGGAGTACTGATAATGCGCAAGAACTTTATTTTCAGTCTTGACTACAAATCCGCAAGACAAGTGGTAGCCTTCTCACAAGTGGCTAGCATTCCTCCAGGACAGAGGAATTCCATATAGTTAATAAGCTACCAAACCTAACATTTAAACCAGCAGCATCCAGCCTCGAATCCCTTTCTCTTTTTTTTGTTTCTTTTTTGAAAATAAATTTTGACTTACACAGTGTGAGTATTATTTGTGAAAAATTTAGATGTTCCTGAAAAAGTTAATGTCTCCTTGGAGTACTGCCTTCTTCTGCTTCTAGACACTAACATCATAATAAAAATATACTTGTCTTAGTGTGTATCCTTCCAGTGTTTTTCTGAGTGTGTGATCATAGAAAGTCTAAAACACTGTTTATAAGTTGCATGAACTTTTTGACAAGGAATGATGGTGTCACTATGAAAGTATCTTTATGCAGCCTGCTTTGTTATTTAGTAGGCCTTGCAATCTATTCGTATTAGTAGATAGTGATCTCATGCTTTAATTATTGCTTAGTATTTTACAGCATACTTATTTGTTTATGGAGTCATTCCCCTACCATTGGATGTTTAGTTTGCTTGCTACTAGCTCATGTTTCTACTTCAACATTATGCCTTATTCTCAACTTCTATAGATGAATTCTAGTAGCTTCTTAGCTCATAAATTCTCAGGCAGGAACAGAGTATGTTGCTAAGAGGACCAAGGACATTTTGACTTTTAGCCAAGAAACTGACTTCTTTGGGGTCTTTTACCCTAACTGCCCAGCCAATACCTACCTTCTATTTTTATCACACCATCCTCTGAAGATTACTCAAATTGCCAATAGGGAATTGGGATGCAAACCTCTCTGGCTTCTTCCATGTTGAACAGGGACATAGGGTGAGGCAATTGGGGTACCCCTTCAGTGAGTCTATCTAAAAGACTCCCAAGTTGCATAACTCTTATCTGTACAGAGAAAAGAAAGTCCTTGACTGGTGAATATGGGATGTGAAGGAGAAGTAAAGGTAAGAGTAGTTAGCATTACAAGTTCTAGACAGGGAACCTGAAAAAAGTCAGTTCCAAAAATGTCAAAAAGTATTTGGGAGTGCTTATCTAATCCCTAAAAGATTTTAGGATTACCTCTTCAGAGGGGGGAATGTTAGAGTAGCAAAAAGCCCCATTAAAAAAGAAAAAGAAAAAAAGAGTACACGAAGTTGTCAGAAAAAAGTGACGGGGAGATATGGGAGGTGTTGGAGGGGAGGGTGTGGGCATGGATTTGATCAAAACACCTTATATGCATGTATGAAATTCTCAATAAAGTTTTTTTAAAAGTTAAAAAAAATTCTCAGGCAAGAAGATAAATGGAAATGTATGAATCTAAGACATTATAATTTACTCCAAACAAATAGTTTATTAGGCAGTGAAATATCA